TCACTTTGCAATACCTTGGAGATGCTTCTTTTCTAAAAAGAAATAAAATTGGATTCATGACTGTAACTCCAGATTGTGCAAAAGTGAGAAAACCTGAGATTGCATTTTCAGCAGTTTTTAGCTGCAGAGGCCCCTTCTTGTCCAACTACCAGTGCTTAGGTAAAGCAAATAAGCCTGATGGGCAGAGAAACCGGGAATTCTCTGCGATGTCATTTATGTTCAAATTTATAGGCACTTGTGCCACAGTAGAGCAACCTGAAAAACAAGTGTAATCCGTATTTAGCAAAAAAAATGGTACATGGAAACATCAAAGTTCTTTCTTTGTGAACCTTTTTTCCCATGTACTAGAAAAAAAAGGGAAAATATTTCTATATTTTCCTTGTAATCTAAAAAAAAAAAATAAATAAATTTGCATGGGAACTTGGAAAGAAACAATGTGTGTTGTCTTTTTTAAGAAATGCTTGATTGAAACCATTTTGGCGGTTTCGAGGAGCAAAATTCCACAGCTCTCTGTAGGTAGAGAAAGGAGAACCTGAGGTTAAGACACCAAGCAGAAGAACTTATGTAGAAAGGGCTTCATTATTATCTAAATCAGTTCAGGTCAATTACTCAGTGAATATATATTTCTAGGTAAATAATTTTTTTTAATATATAATGTAAGGGGAAACATGCTTTCTTTAATAGAGGAAATAAGAAATGCCATCATTTAGTGTTAAAACTTTCTGCATTTTCTCTGGGATCCAAAGAATATTTTTTTCCCAGTCATTCCCTTTGACAATTTTTCTTTGGGCTGATGTTGCATAATTACATCGCTAGGGGAGAAAAACAGCTTCGTAAATCTTTGTTTTTGTTTTCCTTTTTGGTTTTGGTTTTTGGTTTGGTTTGGTTTGCTTTTGACTTTGTTGGGTTTTTTTTCTTTCTTTCTCTTTTTTTTTCAGTAGGAACAGACTGTAAGAGATCATCTATGGAAAAAAAGATTGTACTTTTTTTAAGAAAAAGTGGCATGAATTGTGTAAAAAGTAAAACAAACAGAAGAACCCATAGATTGTTATCTTCCTGATATATGCATTTTTAACACTTATTGTTGCATTGTTTTGGAGAAGGAAATTTAAGTTTTCTGTACTGAGCAAGGCAGGCAGTGAATTGGGAGCTTGGAAAATCTGCACTCTGTTTGCCCTGTTCTGTTTCCAGTTTGGTTAAATATGCTGCCATTCCTGCTGTGCATAAGAATGACCCTCTTCAGGAGCTCAGGACCTCTCCTGTGCTGTTCCCTGAATTATTCCAGAAGATTTAAGAGCAGACCCAGAGTGGTTGTGTTTTGTACTTGTCAGGTCTTGCATTTTTAGTGGAGAGGGCTGAAATGATGGTAATGTTCAAATGTAGTGTCACTTTTGGATTTTCTTATTGAAGTATCTCTGGGCAGGAGTTGAATTGGAGGCCTGAGAAAGACCCAGACACGCAATATCCCAACTGAAAACGTGGAGGATGAATTAGTGTCAGGGACACTGGGTAAGGAGTGATGGGAAACACACACGAGGCTTCACTCCTGGGTCTCGCCATTACCTCCAAGAAATGAGCTCAAGCTGTGAATTTGATATGGATTCATATTTCAGCCCTGTAATAGTCCAAAGGTTTACAGCTTCAGGGATTCATCTTGGGCTCTTTCAAAGACAAGAGCCAACTGAAAAACATTAGATCCAGGCTAAAGTTTAAATCCAAGCGGCCACAGAGTCAAATGGTGCTTGATTTTGGCGTTGTGGCTGGAGCCAGTGTTAACCTCTAAATACGAATTCACTCCTAATCCAACATGTGAAAGAAGTGAGATAAAGCTGAGAAAGAAGCTGCAGCTAAATGAGAAACAGTTTTGTTGCTAGCACAAATGAAATTAAAGGAGTGTGGGTGCAAGCCAGCCAATGTATTCTATTGTGAGGCAAAATGTTTAATTTCTCATTTGTGATAAAACTGAGAAACTGAATAGGGCTGTGGCATGAATGTTCCTTTGTGCAGCCTGATTACCAAGAGCTGGCAGCACATGAAATCTTCCCACTCCAGGCTACTTGCCTAAAACCTCCTACCCCTACCTTCTCTCTGCCTTGGCACTGCAGCAGCCCTTTTAGAGGCTGTCAGATAGGCCTTAAAAAAAAAGAGTCCTTGAGAAAAATACTGGGATTTTTGTATTTTCACGTATTTAGGATGCTAGCCACAACATTTGGGTAATTTGCAATAAAAGCTGTGTATGTGTGTTAGCAGTGGGTGCCTTGAAGTATCAGATTATGAAGGCCAGAAGTAGATATCTTTGTTCTAAATATAAACATTGTTGGACTTTAAATTGGTAATTTTTAATTAGTAGAGATTTACCTACCCTATATGAAGAAGATAATTAATTTTCAAGTTATAACTGAGGACAAAGGGCATTATTTACTCCATTTTCTTCCTTCTGTTCTCTCTCCCTCCTTCTACATCATTTATTCATGCTTTTTTATTTTTTTTAACCAGTGTTTAGACCTACTGAATTTGTTGCTTAAACCATACAGTGTTAAAAAGTATAGCTTTCCTTATATTTCTGAACTTTCTTCCATAAAAAGCTTAAGAAAGATGATCTCTAATTTCACTTCCTCAGCATGAAAAGTAAAACATCTGGTTGTCTTAGTTTCCCACCCCAGCATCTGACTTTCAAGACAGCAAGTAAGCAGTGACACGCTTAAGATTAAAATACAAAAATCTGCTGTGTACATGTTGGCATGGGAGACCAGCAATGGGATGGAGAAAAGCACACAAGTTTCTATCACACTCATAATTACAGAGCATAGATAACAGCCTACAGTTAACATTTTAATATATCCTGTCCCCTGCTCTATTTTTTTTCTGGCCATTGTCAATGGAAAGTTGATGGAAACAGCTGGTTGGGGATTCCCCTTAAATGAATAGAGCCATCTGCTGCCTTATGGTTCCTGTTTCCCTCTTCCTCACACACACAGACTCTGGACATCTGCCTGGGACAAGGGAAGATGCTCCAGGGAGGACAAACAGAGTCACTGGGAGGAGATTTTAGTAGGATTTCAGGTAGAACATTTGGAAATAATTCTTGCAGTATCAGCTTGCATCCATACTGTCCATAGAACCCTTGGGAACAGGGAAACTTGGGAAGGAGGCTCTGTGTGCTTCCACGTCTTATCATGAGGCAGTGACTGGACCCAGTAGAGGATATGACTCTTAATTTGCCCCCTGTGTTTTTTGTTGAAGGTTGGACTTGATGACCTTGGAAGTCTTTTCCAACTTTTATGATTCTTTTATTCTAATCTCTGATCTGTTCCACTTACTTGCACAGTGAAAATGAGCTTTTTTCCTTTTTATATTCATGTCTACATTCCCTTCAATGGCCAATATTATTATGATGACAGACATTAGGGGATATTCTTCTTATTTCAACTTATTTTTTCCTAATAGAACTAGGCCAGGACAACACATCCTTCACCTGTGTGCAATACCTTTAGGACAGAAATTAAGGTTAGTGCTGGAGGAGTGGTACAACCACCTTCCAGTTTTTGTGCAATGGCTGTTAAAACCATCAAATTGGGCTCTCCTCAGTAATCTCTTGTGACCTATTCCTCACTTAAGGTGAGATTCTACTATATTTGGTTCTCCAGAGAAAGCCTGGTTGTTACAGGTCCTTACATTGTGTTTGTGTATGGAGCCAGGGAGGGGTCGGGCTCTGCTTCCAGGAAACAAGGGACAGGACAAGGGGAAATGGCCTCAAGCTGTGCCAAGGGAGGGTCAGGTTGGACATCAGGAGTAATTTCTCCCTGGAAAGGGTGGTCAGGTATTGGAAGGGGCTGCCCAGGGATGTGGTGGAGTCCCCATCCCTGGAGGTGTCCAAGGAACAACTGTGCTCTGGGACTGTGCACTCAGTGCTGTGCACTGGTGGACAAGGTGGAGATTGGGCACAGGATGGATTCGATGGTCTGGGAGGCTTTTCCAGCCTAAATGATCCTGTGATTCTGTGATCTTGTAGCTTCCCAGAGAGTCCTTCTGGTATCTTTTGTAATTGGCCACTCACGAGGGACCTCTCTCAGTTTTCAAGAGCTTTCAAACAAGAGTGTGACCTTATGAGGGCACTCACTTGGATGAACATACTCTTGCCCATCCTTTCTCTTGTTCCCCCCTTCACTACTAATGGGATAACACAGGAATTAACACAGGAGTGGGGTGGGTCTTTGTGTTCCACAATACAGTCAAACAGCATGCACTTATCCTTCATGAAACACTGTTTTCAAGAGTGTTGAGTGACACCAGGAATAAATTTTTCTACCCTGCTCTGGTTTATTTCGTTATCTTGCTTATATGTGTGATAATTCAGTCACTGTGGAATTCTAGAGGCTCTATGAAATGCCAAGCAAGTAATTTATTCATTGTTTTGCTCTTCTTCCTTTCCCACATGAATGGTTTCTTAATCACAGAAACATGACTTGAAGGCTTGTCTGTTTTTGCACTAATTTCTGCAGGTTCTTACTACCACAGCTGACGGTATTAGCAGTGACAATAAGATTATTACTAGTGATTGGGTAGCTCTTTATCATTGTGTATGCTACCAGATTTGCTACTACAGAGCAGACACTGCCTATGTACTGCACAACTAATCCATAATGTAGGAAAAATCTATTTTAGTATCAGAGATCTTCTGTTTATTTGTGTATTTCCTTTGTTTTGATCAAAACCATAAGCTACCATAGGTCTGAAAAGGAAAGAGCAATTATCTATGCTAATTAGTAGTTGAATTAGAAACTTTTGGGCTTTTTTTAATGATTCCGTTTTCAATATACTCAGTGGGTCTGGTGACATAAATATTGTTTCTCTTCAGTCAAATATAAATGTCTGATTTATGCAGCCATGCAATGGATTTAACATGATGATGGTATTGTAATAAATTCAGAGAATAACCTTTTGTCTTTGCTGTGTACCTCTAGCTTTTGGATGCAGAATAAAAACACAGACTAAGCACATAAGAAAGGTTGTTTTATTTTTTCAAAACCAGAAATTAAAAGCTATGTATTTATTATATTCTTCCTAGCTAAAAACCTTTGAATTCCTGAGTGTTTTGGCTGAGTTTGCCTAGGTAACCAAACTTTCAGTCCTGACCTACGCCAGCCTTTCCTTCCTATGGCGATTTGCCCATCCCTAATGATAATGTGAGTAGACAGTTCAGGACAAAACAGGTTTAAATCCTCTTAAGCTGTAAAAGGAAAGGAACCCAAGGATGTCCAGATTGGTTTCTTCATCAGAGGCAGAAGGTACACACCCAGCATACAGCAAACATCTGGACTGCATCAGATTATCTTGGTGAAGGGGGCAAATGTCTTTGCTGAAGTCTTTCATGAAAGATTGCCTGCCTGCTTCTTCAAAGACAAAATTGTTCTAAAGTGCCTTAATTCTGTGCTTCCAATTAGTTTGAAAACTTCAGTTGCTCATTTTTAGACATGGCTATAAAACACAACTTTCATTTTGCAACCACAGAAAGAAGAGGTTTTGATATTTCATTTTTGTTTTAAGAAAGGATAAAATCTAAACTTCTTGAACATCCTATTGTAGCAAAGTAAGTCTGTAACAGCGACAAACAAGTGCCAAAATCGTGCTGGTTTTACAGGTGAGAAAAAACACAGGTACAAAGAAACTGAGCAATTTGATTTCTGTAAACAGAAACACCAATAGTGGTGTGTGTCCGTGTCTCTCCTGTCTCCAGAATTACACTTTCTCACATTTCTGCTCATTGCTGGTCTCTTCTCTGATGTTACAGGTGTGGTTTCAACTGGTTGTTTTAGCAGGTGGTTGTGCAGGAGAAGGGTGGAGTAGCCCCTGATGGTGCAAGGCGACAGCAACATCCCGAGACTCATCCTTGGCTGCTCACTTCCCTTTGGATCCAAGAACATTTCAAAAGCACATCCTGGCCATGATAACATTTTCTGGCTTTCTATTGGTGGTGAACATCATTGCCAACCTGAACTGAGGCAAAACAAACCATCTGCCCAAGTCTGACCTGCCGAGACCTGGAGGTTTTGGATTTTGACTTGAGGATTTTCCCATGTCCTGTGCAATGCAGAAGGGTCTTCATGATTTTCCCATATCTTCTCAAATAAATGTAATGCTTGTGCTTACTGCTGTGCGGGTGCAAGCACTGACTATCAAAGTGTTCCCTGGTTGCAAGGACTCATTGCTGGCTCCTTCAGGAGGACCTGAAAATGTGAGAATAAGAGATCAGCCTTGCCCCGCTTCCTGTGACCTTGAGTTGAGATGGTTAATCTTGAAGGGTTTCTGTTCTCCTCCACCCCCAGTCAAAGAAGGATAATAATAGCTACCCATATCATGGGGGGAGTGTGAGGATTAATAACTTAATGCTTGTTCTCCGGCACTCTGCTGACAAGGGGCTGCCTGAGCCCTGTGACAGAGCACAGAAGCTCGCAGGGCAGGAGTTGTTCACTCCACAGCATTGACTTGGGGGGGGGGGGGGGAAACAATCAGGAGAGCAGGGGAGAGGAGTCAACAACCATAAAAGCTGAAGGAAGAACAGAGGGTGGGCTGCAGTGCCCAGCAAGAAAACAGCTTGCTTGTTATTCTCACCCACTGTACACTGTGTGTACAGGTTTTTGTTATAAATTCCATCCTACAGCCCCAAAGGAGACCTGGCTGTCTCCTGTGTGCTGGCGTGGTATCCTGCATGAAACAGGAGCAATTCAGGGCAGTTTATCCAGGGGAGGAAGAGAGATGGAGTAGCAGAAGACAAGGAAACCAGAACCATGTGCTTAAAGAAGTTTGTAGCAGCAAAAGTCCTGCCAAGGCTTGTGCTTGTGTGTGCCCAGCTAGGTATAGGGGATGCCACAGGTGGGTGCTGAGAAGGTATCATGGTCAGCTTAGGTCCTGAATTAGAGGCCGTGATTCCTACAGGCATGACCATGTAACTTTTGTGGACCACTGTGCTTCTTTTTATTTCTTTTAATTATTAAACTGCTTTTGCTTGAGGTTTTTTTATTTCTACTTTCCTTCCCAGTAACTGATCCTAAAGAAAAAACAGTTTTTCCTCCAAGAACTTAACCTCTCAGCTATCAGTGACATGGAATAACAGCTTATGTTTTATAAGAAATTATTTATATTAAAGATCTCATATGCCAGAGTATTTGATGGGAATTTCTGCTTTTGTAGAAAATTTCCATCACTTGATTGTAACTCACATGTTATTGTATCTGTGTGAGCATGGTCAGGACCTGATGTGAAATTCTGGGTGATTTAAATCAGGACCTCTCAAATGTCTGTTCTAATGAGGATCCAGATGTGAGTACTTAACCTGTTATTCTGTAGGAGAGCTGGTGATGAGGTACATCGGGGAGAGTTTTGCAGGTGCTATCACTTGTTCTGGAGGGCAATAAACACCTCTCTCCTTCACTAGATGAAGTTCAGATTAAAGCAGAAATGATGGTGGAATAGCAGTAGCACTTAGCAGTCTGATCTAGAGCCAAACAGAGGATTTTACAAATCCTTATGCTAAAAAAAAAAGCCACTGACCAGAGAAGCTGTGGCTGCCTCATCCCTGGAAGTGCCCAAGGCCAGGTTGGATAGGGCTTAGAGCAACCTGTGATAATGGAAGGTGTCCCTGCCCTTCACAGGGCAGTGGATGGAACTAGATAAGCTTTAATGTCCTTTAATGTCCTTCCCACCCAAACCGTTCTGTGATTTTATGATTCCATTAGATTCCCATTAATAGTTCTGTAAAGCGTTATTTTTCTGGTCCTTTACAATGTTTTCTGTAAGCTGCTAAGTAGGATGATGTCCTACTGCTTTTACTGGCCTTAGTAAAATCCAGCCTGACCCAGCTGGGACTTCAAAGTTTTTTATGGTAGTGCAATTACCAAAAAATAAAATAAAAAATGTAACCACTTAGCTTTAATGACAAACCACAATTAGTACACTTAATCTTTTTCTAGCACCTCTGAGCCTTTGGTCAGAGGCTGACACATTTCATGGGAGCAATCCATGATTTTCATGGTTTTGAACAACAATCTTTGTAGATATGTCTTACCCCAAGACAGAAGTGGGCTGCATCCGTCCTGTTGGTACAAAAAGCCCTTGTGACTGTGTATCACGTGAGTATCTCTATTTCTTCTGTAAATTCTGCTTAGCAAACAAACTCATTGCATTTTGGAGAAAGACTGTGCCCACCTGATTTAATGCAGAACTGCTAAATCTCAGGTGAGTCCTGCACTTTTCATGCCTGAGACTTTATGTCATAACTGAGATCTTCCAAAATGACAGGTATTTGTGCACATATATGATCAACAGGATGCATGCCTTCATGACATGTACCAACATCAAGCGTAATTGTCCATTTTTGCAACTTTCTTCGTCTGTTTTACGACTCTGTGATTCAGACCTTGGGGGATATTTATAAATCGTTTCTGTCACTGAAAAAGGAGCCAAATGTATTTCAGCATTGCTCTGTTGCTTATTGTTGGTTTGTTTGTTTGGTTTTTTTTCTGGAAACTTCATAATCCAAGTTCCTCATTGACAGTTGGGTTCCTTCCTGTGTAAGAAGTGATTTTTATGCCCAATTCTGCCTTTACTCGTATAAAGATTTTACATATTTTCTGAAAATTCTTTGTTCTGCTGAAGCAATATGGGAGCTTAAATATTTGTACACACTAAAGAGCAGTATTCCACCTTCACAGAATCATTAGGGTTGAAAAGTACATTCAAGATCATCAAATCCAACCATCCACCCCCACCAGTTTTGGGGAAAGGTGTCACTAAGCCATAATTTCTTTGGTGGGAATCACTACATTATCCTTATAGAGGAAAATATGTTCAGGAGGGTCAATCCTAATTCAGAGAATAGAGGAGAAGAGGAGAAGAGAGAGAGGAGAGGCATGGGACACGGGACAGGATTTATCCAGGCAGAAGCAAAGTCTGGAGATCTGGACTGGAGCCAGCCTGGAGGTCTCCTGGAGGCTGTGCCCCGGGGGCACCTGTTGGGACATGACACGGAAAGGAGCCACAGAACCAACTGCCAAGAGTTTTTTTTTGAGATGAGGGGCTGATCCCCAGCACAGTGGCCTCCTTGTAAGGTTCACACCTTCTGCCCCACTGGTAAGTCCAGCCCCTCCAGATTGCTGGAGCTTGACTGGAGCTTCCCACAACCTGATCTGTGTGAGAGGGGCCAGGTGGTGCCTGGAGGGGGGTCAAGTCCCTCATGGGATGCCCTGGGAGAGGGACTCCCTGGCCTCGGGTCAGGCACAGCTGCCCCAGCCACAGAGAGGGCTGGGTTTGCAGCCACGGCTTCAACCCTCCTGTAATCACCCCCTTGGCTGCCTCTGGCAGCAGGACAGCTCCCAAATCCTCCTCACCACCCCCTAACAGCCATGATGAGGTGCTGAAACATGGAAGCTGAAATCCCTGTGTTATTGTTCTCCAGTGAAGCAGGAGCATGCCTTGGAAACATCTGGTTTTGGGTTGGTAATTAGGACCAGATATGGTCTTTACAGTGACCAGATTATTGCACATGGCACCACATTCCCCTGCAACAGGGGAAATCCTTGTTTTAATTCCTCCAAAAAAGAGCAAAAAGCACATTATTTATTTATTGTCTTGGCGAATGCATGCCTTTGTCTTAAGGCTGTCTCTTATTCTGGATAAACTGAGGAGAGAATCAATTTTCTGTGATAAGCCTGGAGTAAAAACAAATTATAATTTCTTATATCCTGTAGAAATTACATGGCCATGAATGTCAGTGTAACAGTTAATGTTTCCAGTTCATTTGCCTTCCAGTGCTGTGTCTCTTTGCACACCAACAGCTGGGAATGGGAAAGATGACACCACTGGTTTTCTCTGTTTTTGCTTAGTAAGTGAGTCTCTAATGAGAACACTCACTCTAACAAGTATCAGCACTGCCTGTAAGAAGAAAAAGTACTGATCCATCTTCTCTGTGTTCCAGCTCCTCAAATAAATAGGATAAATAGGAAATCTATGCACTTTTCCTAAATAAAGGTGGACATTCCTTTTTTTAATAAATTCTGTGATACTTCTAAGTGCTGGGGAATTATTTTTTGTTAGGTGAGTGGGACATTTTTGTTTTGCAGACATTATCAGTCTTGCTCTGCATAAATACTGAATTTCTAAGTTTTGCCTTTATTGTTCAGAATTGATGTACCTTTAGGTGCTTGAGGCTTCCTCCTGCCAAGATCTCCTCTGATGTTGGTAAAGATTCACTTCTGTCTGACTTTGAATAAGTTTTCTTCAGAATAAAGGATCTGACTCTTATTCTGGAAGATTCTCTAATTGTCATTAGGTCATTCACCTCAAACTTTCTCATTTCTTCCACTTCCTTTCCCACTCATAGCTCTTCCCAGAATCTCAGAACTAAGGGAGGGATGGTACTGGAAAACAGGGATGAGTTGCCGAGGTATCTTCTTGTCACACAAACACATGTGTTGGATGTTCCCAGAACTGGAAAATACATTGGTACAGAGGAGTCCAAGAGTCTGTAGAAGACATGACGATTTGGAAAGAGTTATCTCCCACTTTAGTGGCCACTTGGATCTGTAAGAAATTAAAGAACGCAATCTCTGTGAATTAAATTAGCTAACACTACTAGATTTGTGTAGAAGCCTGTAGGAGACATCAGTTTGTGGCTGATTTCTGTAGAGGTAATGCCTGTCATACCATGAAAGTTAACAGGAGCAGTGAAGTGCTTTACAGCCAAGCTGAGCCTAGTTATATGCATAAATACGAATAAAAACATATAATATATATAATATAAAAGCCTTAGCCCTAATAGTAGAAGAGCCAGCCCAATGCTGCATGTTTTTTTCAGTTTTAGTTACTTTTTTTTCCAATCATGCTACTATCCCATTTATTCTTGGGTTGCCTAGTCCAAAATTCACCAACAGAGAATTCATGGGAAATAAAATTCCCATTCTCACTGACAGTAATACTTGTGCCATAAAGTGTTTTCATGCTGACTGAATCAGAACAGAATACCATTTGCATTCACTTACTGATCATAATTACCTCACAGCAGGCATATCTAGTACCAAAACCAGTGAGCTGATGGAAACCCATGTGGGCAGTTGGAAGGGAGGAAGAAATTTCGTAGGAAATTCCAAATATTACATACCTTTGACAGATATCACACATTCTGGGTGAAACTCTGATGCTTTCCATGAAAATGCCTGTCCTTCCCTCAGTGTAGGATTTTATACTTTAGGAATAAGTGGTGGTGTGAATTTCCCACCAGCTTAAAAGGGACTGTTAATGTAAACCCAACAATGTAAATGTGATTGGCACTACTTCCTATAAAGCTTCTGTGGGAGTCTTCTAATTCCTTCACAGTCCTTTCTTTTTAACTTTCTAAAACCTGATGTGAAGACATTTTTTAGTGTTATGTTATATTCCAGTAAAGATAAAAAAGACATAATGTAATTATAGTTTTCTCTCTAGATTTCTTGTCAAGCATTATTATGCCAAGGAAGAAAAAGAAGGCAGAGAAAGAATGGAAAAAAACCCAAAACCCTCAAGAAGCTGCTGTTATATATTATTTAAAACTTTGATAGATGATGAAATAAAGTTTCTATTCAGGGAATAATTTTTACAAATTACCATTTAGGTATTACGTATTGTAAAAAATATTAAGAACCTTCCAGATGAAATAGTTCTTTCATGTTTTGACTCACAGAAAAGAACTTTTTTGGGCAAAGCTCAAAATGGGCAAGATGGTCATCTTTGTTTGGATTAGGACACGGGGAAACGGGTTTAAACTGGAAAAGAGCAGGTTTAGATGGGATACTGGAAAGAAATTCTTGGCTGTGGGGGTGGTGAGGCCCTGGCACATGTTGCCCAGAGAAGCTGTGGCTGCCCCATCCCTGGAAGTGTTCAAGGTCACGTTGGACAGGGCTTGGAGCAACCTGGGATGGTGGAAGGTGTCCCTGCCCATGGCAGGGGGTGGGACTGGATGGGCTTTAAGGTCCCTTCTGTGATTCTATGATTCTTTCATGCCAATAAATTCTTTGAAGACCCAAAGAGGACTTGAGGGACTTGTTTTGGGAAAAGAAATTTCCCAAATGCAGAAGGCTTCAGCCTCTGATATATCATGTAAAGCACAAATGAGCTTGAAGAGAAGGCAACAAGAACAGGAGACTTTTATGTCTCTCATATGCCAGCCAGTAGATGCCCCCAGTTTTAGTCTGATACTGTCTTAGGTACTTCGAGATAGAATAGGTATCCTCACAATTTTCAGTGTCTTTTGTCAGAGGTGCCTATAAATTAAATCTTGAAGCCATAGTAGTTTTGTCATCCAGACTTAAATGCTGTTTAGATAAAAAACTGACATGCTGCAAGTTTCCCGTTTAATTTGTATAGAGTCTTCGTTCCACCAGCTGGATTTCTTTTCCTAAACATTATAATACTCACTGAGGTGAGGACTGGAGCCAAGAATGGGAAAAAAATAGCTGGTCCAAAGGAGCAAGTTATTTAGGCTAACAAAAGGAAGGTATAAATACCTTCTATTGCTGGATGAGAATCAAGTAAGAGGTGCTTGGGAAAAACCTAAATGCACAGGAAAATGATGGCCAAAATGTAACTCTTGTGCACCACGTGCATACTGATGTTCACCTGTAGGGTTTGGAACCTTTTAAGAGCTCAGAAATAAGGGAAGGATGAATGTTGTGGATGTATTACCTGTGAGTAAGAAGATATGGAGGAAATCAATCTCCTGTATCTCAGAATGGTGAGGTCTGTGAGTAGGTCAGGTAGTGCCTCCCAGAACACCTTTTATTGCTCATGCATTTGGGCGTTCAGAAATCTTCTGCAAGCATCACTATATTCAGCTAAGGTAAATAATTGTATTTTATCTTCTGCCTAACTCTTCCAGCACAAGGCTTCTGCGAATGACCCTGTTAATCTTATTACTTGTGTCTGTGGATGCTCTTGTTCCTCCACTGCACAGGCAGGTGCTGACCCACAGATTAGCTGTGCCCTTCACCTTGTGCCCACAAGGCTTTTATCAGTAGTCTCTTATGATAGGTCCTGTGAAAGAGTTTCTGACAGTCCAAAAAACAAAATAAAATTGCAGTTAAAACTCCTTTAGCATTTTTCCTGTACACTAGAAAATCAGTTTCCCCTTTAAAGAAGGCTTGTTTTTTTTGCTTGCTATTATGTCATGTTTGGGATATTGACATGTTATGTTTTAAATCCCGTTTCAATTTGCTCGTGGCAATAAGGTAAATCATGGCACAGTACTATTTATTTTCAGTTATTAAAGAAAATAAATCTGAAGTTGATTCACATTTTGAAGTGACAGAAGTCATGCAACTACTTTTGCTAGCATGAGTTCCTGCGTGTCTGAAATAACAGAGCAAATCATCATATGATATCATTTTTACTCTTAACAGTCTTTTTAAAATCTTGGCCAGAAAAAGGTTAGATTAGAGCTTGACTTAGATCTGCCATGATCTCTTCTCAAACCCATCTGAGGAGAGCAGTCCACATGACACAATGGCCACAATAGTAATGCATATTGCTGAGCCACTCTTCTCCGATAAAATACTAAAAAAAATATTACCTATCGCTTAAAAAACATTCAATAAGAAGTTTGGTGCTAATTATTTCCACTAACACCTTATCATTAATTAATAGCTGCTCAATACATGGCTGAGAAAGCTGTGTCATTGCTGAGAAAACCAAGAATGTCTGTGTGAGTTCATGCCATTGACATCTGACATTAGGCTTTAGCAATTTTGGCCAGAAAACTTAAATATTCTATACATGAAATATTAAAAAATATTTTCTTTCTTGTCTTACATAATCTAAAAATGTATTAAAAATTAAAAAGGTTTATTGTGCATTGAAAGGATACAGCAGAAATCATGATTACATTCCCTGTCTGTGCTTCCAAGTTGTCTTTTAGATAGAGGGGTTTTCTTCACCAGGAAATATGGTTCATAATAAACAGCCTAAGAATACCATAAAGCAGCTCCATGCTGTAGATACCTTTGTTTATCTTTGATTAATTTCTCTGTACATTTTTACCACTTCATTTTTCAGACAATGTGGAAAATTCTTTAATAAGATGACTAGATGGAGGCAGCAGGAAAGTAGAGATAAGTTGCAATTTTAGTAAGGGCATGGAAAAAGAAACCCCCACCTTTTATGATTTTAAAGCTGAAGGGGCTGATGAACTAGACAAGATGACTAAAAAATGATAGGTACATGTAGTTTTCCTACTAGTTAAGAACAACCAACTACTGAAGTTAAGCACGCGAATCTACACTATAAATGGATTTCAGTGTTGGTACATGAGACTGACACCTTTGTCATCTGAAATTACCATGAACTTGCATTATTTTGGGAAAGCTTTTCCCCAGAATAAATCTCAAATATTTTTGGATAAATATGTCCTAATGGTGGTATCACATAATTTTCCACTTTAACTCCCACAAGACTGAAAACTGCTACTCAGACTCCTCCCCAGTCACAGATCATTGGTGGATTCACTCTAAAGCTCCATATCCTGAAGCTTGGTATAGCGATTTACACTCCAAAATGTTTTTCCCTGTATATCATTTGGAGTAAGATTTACTGTAGAAAATAATTGAGAAAATTATTTTAAATAAATAAAATGGCCAGGAAAATACTGTTAATAGAACAATCTGAAATTCTAGGGTTCAGGATTATCTGCAGGTTTGTTACACCAGGGGTTTTTTTCCAATCTTTGCTGTGTGGATGTTCATGAACACTCATCTTCTCTTGGGAAGGCTGGCTATAAAAAAAAAAAAAAAAAGGAAAGAAAAAAGCATGAAGCATGCTGGACGTTTCTTCAAATACAGTGTGATCCCAGTCTTACTGCATTTCCCTGTATAAGAAATGCCTCTGATAAACACAAGAAAATTGAAATCAGAATCAAAAATGAATATTGATACATTTAGATTTGACAAAATACTCCAGAATCCCAGATGTGAACTTTGGTTGTCCTACGCCAAAATCCCACCAAGATGAAACCTAAAAGCTTTTATGACAGAGGTATTGCTCAGATGCTAAATTTCAGTGCTGTTACCTTCCACAAGCTGGTTCTGAATGGCAGCTTTCATTTCGGGAGGTCAGCTCCTCGGATATCTGGAATTTCCTGCCAGCTCTGTGCTGCAGGGAGGAAGGGGTTGTTAGGCGCTCTTAGGTGAGGAGCCTTTTATGTCAGCAGCACAAATCACTGCAGCTTTGTTTGTGTTCCAGTGGGGATTTGTTGTTCCAAGGAAATCTGGCACTTCAGCTGTTATTTCCATTCCTTCCAAATCTCGTTTTATTTCTGAAACACGGGGCTGTAGATTGTAGCTGGGGCAAAAAGCCTCAATTTTCCTGCATTCCCCACAATTTGGGCACATTTGTGAAAAATTACTTTCAAATGTATAAAAGGTTTCTGGGAGTTCTTCATGAGTTTGTATGTCTGGAACTCTTTTTAGGCTTCATTATAAGGAAAAAGCACATGAAGCTGTGCCTTCCTTCTGCTTAGGACTTGGACCTTGTTCCTTACCACTTTCCTCATCAAGGCACTTTACCCTGGTTAATCAAAGTGAGGCTAAGGACTGATTGTAGTGGGGTTATTTTTCCTGACTGTTTTCTCAATGAAACATAAGTGGCCTTTACACTAAAATTGCCTTTCCCACTTGCAATCTTGATTCTGTGAGACTTCTCCATGCTTACCCATTCTCCATCCAAGACTGCCAAGTCTCTGGTTTTATCTATCTCTTCGGCTGCTCAAAATTTTTCAGATTATTCTGTCATAGAGAGGATTTTTTAAATATTTATTATTTTTTCCCCACAACCTGGTGTGTTCTGCTTTAGAACAAAGTCCACTTCAGAATGCAACTTTTTCCATGAGAAAAAGGAAGAGGAAGAAATCCAGCTCTTGTCACCTCAATCATAAACAGTGTTTCATCAGAAACCTGCCCTGGCTTCAGATGCCTTGTGTGGTTTCTGTTACCCAAATGTCCATGTCTGGCCCCAGCCTTATAAAGTGGCAGTGGTTGTCTCTGGCTGGGATTAATTCCACTTAACCCAAGATAACATCTTCTGCTGGAGACCTTCCTTATGTCTTTTGCAGGTTATATTGATATTTATTTTCTAGCTGGTCTTATTTAGCATTTTCAAAAATCTTGAATCAAACAGATTTGCAAAAATGACCATAACTTTTAAACACATTTTCTGTGAAGAAGATAACAAAAGAGATCAAGCAGGGGGGAAGAAAAACACCGAAAAAGGTCAGATTTTAAAGTGAACTCAGTGTTTTATTCATAAGGAGCAAACAAGTGAAATTTTATTGCATATGGGGCATCACACAGGAGCATATGGAGCCATAGGGTAGCCAACCACAGTAGTATCTACTACACTTTTTATCAATTAAATGATCAGATGGGGCACACAGGTGGGGATTTTCACAAGCGCTGCGACATATGCAGATGTGACTGTGATGCTAACAAATATCTTCAAAAATTGTCTTTAAACTGAGGAATAAAACCTGAAATGGTAGTGCCAAACACAATACTGATGCAAATTAAGTTTAAAGAGTCATATAATTGAATCACATAATTTTTTGCGTTGGAAAGGGCCTTCAAAAATCATCTCATTCCAATACCCTGCCATGAATGAAGGGCAAAGTCCTGCTTTTTCTGAGGTCCATTGCAGTCTGCTGAAGATGCTGGTTTATGTGGTTCATAGTCTACACTTAATCTGAAGCTTGCGCATAGTTTCAACCAAAACAGACATAATGGTTTAAAAACTTTGGAAATGTGTATGAACTCTTAACACTGAAATTGTTTGCTTTAATGCCCAGATCTCCAGATAAATGTCTATGATAGGTAAATGTGATATGAATCACAGAATCACAGAATGGTTTGCATTAGAAGGGAACCTTAAAGATCATCTTGTTCTAAACCCCTGCCATGGTCAAGGGGTCCTTTCTCTAGACCAGGTTGCTCCAAGGCCCATCCAACCTTGCCTTAAAACATGGCAAAGAATATCTTATGACTTAATATGTTCTTCAACATTTTTTTTTTCACTTCATCTTGCAACAGCAATGTGGCACAGCCACCCTGTTGTCCTGACAAAATTAAAACCTAAGCATGAGGCTGGGCTTTGTCCAAATTGCCTTATCACAGTCATGTGGGAACAACAAACCAGCCTGTGGATCTGGTTCTTTTGCCACATTGCTAGCAGAGGTTTTAATTTAAAATGTGAGAATTTAGGCACCTCTACAGCACCTCCAAAATGATAATTCATGTCCCTCTCTGCATGTGTGTCTCTGAGAGACAGCTGGGCACCTGACTTTCAAGCTCTCCATGAGATTGGTAAGGTTGCACTGCAGTTTGCATGTCCTTCATTACCTAAAAGCAAGTGATGAAAGCTTTTAGCAGCAAAAGGACATTTGATGAACAAAGGCCAATTGACTTTTGTATGGAGAGCAAATCTGCCTTTTTTTACTGGTTATGCACAATGTGGCAGCCAGCTTGCTGTTTGCAAAGAGCCAGAGGCTGAAGAACCAGAGGGAGCCGTGAACGTGAACCCTCTCCAGATGATGTTTAAAAGAAGAAAAGAGCAGAAACAACATTTTTTTTTGGCTGAGAGAATGACTGTGCCTCTTAAGTTTTGCTGTTTTACCTGATCCCTACTGCTGCACAGCACCAGGGATATCTTCTATCCTGTGTACGGACAAGGAAGTCGTGCAGACATGGTGCTGAGTGACATGGTTTAGTGTTGTTCTTGGCAGTACTGGGTTAATGGTTGGGCTCCATGATCTTGGAGGTCTTTTCCAACCTCGATCCCATAATTCTATGGATCACAGTTCACCCACAGTGAAGGACAAGCTGGTCATTAGCTTTGTCATCTGCTAAGTACTGCAGACTCTTGTTAGAGACAAGCAGCCATGTATTTGTTCTCCTACTTGATTGAATTTTGACAATCAGCCATAACATTTGTGCAGGCTGGCAGCATCTTTTTCTGGTTTGATTTACTCCCTACCCCTTCCATAATACTCTCTTTTTTTAGTGGAAAAGTCCTCTTTTTTTTCCTTTTTCATGCTTGCCTAACAAAAATACTCTTTTTCAACCAGATGTAACAGGAAAGAGAAATATTCTCCTCTTTCTAGTCTCTTCACTTTTCTTACTGTTTTGAAACAGATCTACTTAACTTCTGCAGATTCAATCAGTCACCCAAGCCTTTATAAATGTAAAAGGCCCAAGGACAGAAAGACTTTCATTTACTGTTTGTGTCATTTGTAATTATGCCATTTGATTTCCCTTGTGGCCTCACAGCTTTCCTCGTGTCTACCTTTCAGGCTGCTTGTGGAATGGAGCAACCAGGCAGGAGCCAAGAGAACCAGAAACAATGGTCAAGAAAAACTAATTCTCGAGAAAACCAAACCAGTATTCTTTCGCCAGTGTCACAGCTAGAAAGGCAACAATATTGAGTATCTACCTTGTACACATCAATTGCTGTTCGTTTTTAAATCAGAAAGGGAGGAAAATGCTGGGCAAATAACATGACAGGTGTGACAATTTCAGGTGAGGTGCTATTTCTATTAGATTTAGCAGAAGTAGTGTTATGTGAGCTATCCAGCAGGAATAAATTGGTGATAATCCAATTTATTGGAATTGTTGCACATGAAAAAGGAACTGTGAGAAAAGAGAGGCTTCCAAGTATAAAAATAATGGAGCACTATTATCTCAAAATAGAGCATTGTTGTCACAAAACAGAAAAAAGGGGGCTAAGCGGGTTCAGAAGGCATCTCTGACATGAGTGATGTTGGGACAATTTCGGATCAGTTGAAGGAGAGACCCAAGATACAACTTAAAACTATTTTAGTCCTATTTGGGTCGTGATATTTCAGACATCAACAGTTTTTACATTAACTCTCAGTACAAGTGAGTCTAATTTATATACTCACTAATGGATATTCAGAAACAGAGAGGAAAATCCACAGTGTTTTAAATCTATTTGTGTGTTTTATGTTGATGTGCTCTTTCTTCCCTTCAGCAAGCACATACTTTCCCTCCAGTGCAGGATATTTCTCCCTCTCCCCAGTGCACAAGCTCTTGTTTGCCAGGGCATGTTACTAAACTACTTCCATTAGCAGTGTTGTAAATCACAGGGACAGTCAAGATTAGTTAGCACTTTTGGAAGAGTGACAGTGTCCAGTTGGACATAATTCTATTGTCATTCACAATGAGCATTATCTGGTAGTATCACTCACATTTGTGAACTGTAAATTTTGTAGACATTTTGAAGCAGTATTCTTCTTTACATTTACATTGAAAAGTTTTCTTTTCCCTCTAAAATATTTTATTTTGAAATAGGGAGTACTAATGCTTTTACTGAGATAGAAAGTGTTGATAAGGGTCTTATTTCTAAGAATGAAGCCTTCATGACAATAAACCAACAGCTTTTGGAAGTAAAGCTTATTCAGGCATCCCAAGTGAATTTGTTCCAGGTGGGAATACAATAGAGAAATAACAGCTTGGAAGGTGGAAATGGACAAATTCTGTGCAGCAGCATAGCAGAACAGCACAGTCCTGGTAATTTCAATTATAATTGTGATAAATTGATAAAATAGCTTTTAAAGTATTTGAGTTATAGTTGTTTAAAGGACTAAGGTCAGTTTCAATCAGCTTGGATAGACCTCTGAGTAGGTCCCACTCTTTCAGCAAATATACCCCTCTCTCTCCCCCTAAAAATACAATTTAGGGAATGTAATGTCACTATTACTTAGTGACAATTAATAGGTCCTGGCTCCTCTAGAACTGGAACCGCATAAGGTGTTGAAAACTAAACCAACCTGCTTTGTCTCTATTTGTCTCTATGCCAGTTCCCCCATCAACAGAGTGGTATGTTATAAAAAGAAGTGGTTTTAAAATGAATTATTCCATGTTCAAAATGCTCAAGATTGAGTGTTAAAAAAAAAAAAATTAGAGTCTTTTTAAGTATAAAAGGAACTACAGTAGAAATTGCTCAGTCACTTCCAAGGATCAGACGTTGCAATGTAGCTTCTAGAACTGAATTTAGAGGGATAAAAAGAAAGTCCAAATGCCTACTGCTAAACTTTGGGGCTTGCTATTGTATAAATTTGCAGGTTTATTATTGTCTAAGCAGATTTCACTTACCTTTGTCCAAACTTGTGGCCTCGGGCAGCCTCAGCAGCACTGGCAGATGAAATGGTGCTGCTGCCTGTGTTGGTATAGGAACAAGGTGTTGGCATACGAATGTTCTCAGCTGTCCTGCACCTTGTTCAGTGTTATGGGTGAAACAGCCCCAGGAGTGAATTTGGGTTGAATAGGGATGGGACCTTGCTGCTTTCCCTGAAGAGGTTGAAAGGTGTATAAGAAATGTTATTTCCAGCACCCAAAAGGGAGCCCACAATAAAGATGGAGAGAGACTGTTTACAAGGGGCCTAGAGTGACAGGACAAGGGGGAATGGCTTCAAACTGACAGGGAGTAGGTTTAGATTAGATATTAGGAGGAAATTGTTCCCTGTGAGGATGGTGAGGCCTTGGCACAGGTTGCCCAAAGAAGCTGTGGCTGCCCTATCCCTGGAAGTGTCCAAGGCCAGGTTGGATGGGGCTTGGAGCAACCTGGGAGGTGTCCCTGTCCATGGCAGGGGGGTGGAATGGGATGATCTTTAAGGTCCCTTCCACCCCAAGCCATTCTGTGTTTCTAAGACAGAGAACTTGATGCTCACCACAGCTGTAAGAAAACCATGGAATTTAATTTTCTATTTTCATGCTTAGTAGTGTTGTTACCTAATCTCATTTTTCCTCATGTTCTCACTAAAGTTGTTTTCCAGCACTGATTTTTTTCCTCCAAAGTGTTGCTTGACTTCAGGCATAGTTATAAGCTATGGGATTTGTGCTTTAAACACATGAAATTTTACACAGGGCTGAAAGAATTCTGAAATACTGTCTCCCAGGTCACTCAAACTGCGTGTTCAGAACTAGTGCACACTACTGATAAAAAACCTCTCTGCAAGTTCTCTAGAGTTTGCTGTCCTGGCTGTGGCAGGGCTTAGGTGAAAGGTACAATGTCTAAACATCAGGAAGCAATTGGGAAAGCTTTGGCCCCGAGGTTTGGGGCATAACATCCCCAATATTATCAGTATCCCCCTGCATATTGCCAGCCCACAGCTGCTATTCCATGGTTTGGAAAACGAGGCAGTGAGTTCTGGGGGAGACACGGTCCTTCATGTTCCTTAGCCTTGGATACTCCCTTCCTCTCCGGGGACTGCTCCTCCCCTTTGAATGTGACTGAAGCAGCATAAAAATCTAGTTCATGCCATTGTTTGTTTTTGTTTGCTCTCATCTTCACTGGGTATTTTGTTCTTTCTGAAGCAGAGAGTCTGTGCTCGATCAGGGACTGGCAAACTGACTTCAAAACCATCCCCATGAACTTGAGATGCCTCAGGAAGAGCTGTGGGGGAAAATGCTAAAGTTAAGGAGGTCTGGAGCATAACCAACTCAGATCAACACTTGCAGGACATGGAGTATAGCAGACACACTGTATGGTCAGACATCGTTTACAATGGTGGTAAAATGGGTCTCTAAAGGCTCTTTTGTTTTCCTACTTCTCCATCTGGATTCTGAACCCTGATACTGATGAAGGGGGGGTGGTGGTTTTGGGCTTGTTAGGACACAATCTGGGCTCGTCAAGGAGTTGATAAATGGGTCCTCAAAAACAGTGAATTATTCTGTAATGGAAGTGAAGAGGATGGAGCTTCCACTCTCGCACTCAGGTCGGGGCACTGGAGCACTTCTTTGTGCATTATGTTGTACTTTATCATGACAAGGAGCAACAGGATCTGTTTGTTTGTGCACAACTCAGAGCCCCTCACCAAGGCATACTAAATAAATACAATAAACTTGTAATGGGGAGCACTTTTGTGGCTTGTGTCCTTTTTTTTCCTTTAAAACATATTTTCCAAATGTGGGATGAGTGGTCTAAAGGGAGTTCAGGGAATAGCCTATACTGTTATGATTCTTGTGAGCACATATTGAATCATTCCAACAGGTCAGCAGGACAGCAAGATCATTACCTCAAATCTACAGAAAGGAAAAACAGGGAAATGCATGAAGAGCCTTGATCTCGTGGTTGCAGCGTGTTGTGCTAGGAAAGAACTGCACAAAAACAGGAGTGGAAAATAGATGATAACTGGGAAGGAACGATGAAGAGAGCTTAACCAGTTGGGTCTTCCTCCCTTTTTAATTAGATCCTGTATTTCTGCTTCTGGAGAGGGAACACTCTTCCTTGGCAGACATAGACTAAGCAGCCAGGTGTGGTATCTACCCAGGTGTGGCTGGGTAAATATCTCTGTTTAGGTTCCCCCAAAGTTTTGGGGCTTAGCAGTTCAGTTACCCTTTTTGTAATTTGAGAGGGAAAGGGGAGGAAATTTTGACACCAGACTGGAGCACCCAGTGCCAAAGGGCACAGAAGAACTACAACTTCAGTTTTGTGCAGAAATTGGGGCACCATTTTCAACACCACACTACATATCCTGGTTAAGAAGTTTCTACATATGTTCATGTATGCAAAATTTTATGGGTGTATGTGAAATGAAGAGCAGGATGATGCTACTTTATAGACGAACTCTTCCTGCATTAAGACCAGTAAACGAGAGAAGAGCACTGCTTAGAGGAAGTTTTCTTTCAAAATCTGTGTCACTGTGTTTGCTACTGGACAAAGGAGAAAGCCTTCCATGTGTCAGTAGGGAAGGAAGGAGTCTGAAAGGTTGGAAGAGCAAACATGAATATCCGAGTAGGAGTTTTTCAGGGACACTGTGGACTCCCTGTCCCTGGAAGTGAAATTGTTCCCTGTGAGGGTGGTGAGGCCCAGAGAAACAGTGGCTGCCCCATCCCTGGAAGGGTCCAAGGCCAGGTTGGATGGGGCTTGGAGCAACCTGGGCTAGTGGAAGGCGTCCCTGCCCATGGCAGGGGGTGGGACTGGATGAACTTTAAGTTCCCTTCCAACTCAAACCATTCTGTGTTTCTGATTCCATGAATATGAAGATGGTCAAACAAACCGATCAAGCTGTGACCTGCAGCAGCTAGATTCAAAGGGTTTGTTCTTCCTTGTGAAGAGAAGAGGAGGAAACAATTCTTATTACTTCCAGAAGTCACCATGAATCCAGAAACAAAAATCTTTTCTGTGCCTCTGGTCTCTTAAAGAGGGGTATCATTAAACTATTAGATGGATGTCAGAACATGTTCCCTGGAAAGCAGGGACATGTTCTGTGCGTGGCAGTGGTGTGGGAAAGAACTTACTGACTATTTTAGCATGGTCAGAAAACTCCCTTGAACAGGGAGCTCAGCTCGAGCCCTCCAGCCCCAGGTGCATCATTAGTGATGATGATAATTTTAAGTGCCATCTTTGGTATCAGGGTTTTATGTCTGTAATAAATAACAAGCAATTCAAATGTCAGGAATAATTTATCATTAGGAAAGGATTTTTTTCCCCTGTGTCCTGGAGTCTTACCAGCCTGTGAAGATAAATTGTGAGAATCTGGAGGTAACATTTGTTCCAAAGAGACGAGGATCAGTTTGTTCCCTTGGCTCCCTTATTAGCTGAAAAGGGTGGGGGAAAGAAAATGAGCATGTAGCCTTATTGGAAATCAAAGCTGGTCTGTGAATGTGTGTCTGCTCTGGCTTATTCATGACTATGATACACGTGTAAAATATGCTGGTGGTGCTACACAGTCAAAAACGCAGCTTGCCAACACTGTTAAATTACTATTTATTTCCTTTTAATTCCACTGGGTGTGACATTTATGTCCAAATACATCTGTCATTTGGTTGGAGTTCCCATTAGCCTTGAAAGGTTATTTAAGTTTTTGCATGTAGGAATGACCAGCTGGTGAAGATTTTAGAATTTAAAAGGGTACTTTTATATTTTGACCTGACTTGACTTCACTTTAAAAACAAGTCTTTTTTGTTTTAAAACAAGTATTTTCCAGAATAAATGAAACCATATAGAATTTTACCCCTTTAAAACCACCTGGTCTTCCTTTAGGGGGAAATACAGTATTTTAATCACCTAGTTTGTCAAAGGTAAGTGCTGTCATGAATGAGTGATGTGATAGGTTCCTCTATTTATGCATGATGTAAATAGGTGATGCAGAGGACATCAAGGAGGTGTTTAGATTATGTGTGCTTACACTGTATTGAAAAAGAGATCATATAGTTTAATTGGGCCTACACAAACTGGTGAATTTGCCTACAGCTGAACTACACAAACATGGGAATTTACTGAAATGTTGTGGCAGCTGGATATGCTTCCAGCTGGGCACAGACGCTGAGTGCTTCCCACTTAGAGCTGGGCTGGAGGGAAAACCTTTTCCCGTGGAACAGCTTCCAAAGAGCCCTTTCAAGCAACGGAAACGATGTGTTACCATGGGATGCTCTCACAGAAAGTTTTGAATTTGACAGAGGAGTTAGTGACTTTCTCACTCCTTAAGTAATTATCCTCTCTGCTGACATATCAGGGGCTGGCAGGAGTAGCTGTGTCATTGGAAATGTTTATACCCAAGTCCTTGAGAAAATGTTGGTATCTCCCTCCCACACCAGGTAGAATTACGTGAGTTAATAACACACTCTTTTGGAAGGTCTTTTTTATTCAGATTAAGGAATTGCTGGACAATCTTCCTACAGCTACTGGTAAAGTAGGAGGAAATAAGCAAGCTGCAGTGCTAAAGGCTATCTTCCTGTAAAGTCTCTGAAGCTTGAGTGAAGGCTCAGCCTGGCTGATGTTTCATAAGAGGAGCTTGGGCTCCATCTGTCAAACAGACAGAGACAAGGGTATACTGTGAAGTGACAGGTCATGTACCCGTGGATCTATGAGCCAATGAACAGGTCATGGAATTTAGGTAAAACCTCTGGAGATTCATTAAATCCTGTCAGAAACTGATTAACTGAAAAATATAGATGTGCCTGTGGGCACACAAGCCCTTCAGATGTGAAACAGAGTCAAAAAATTAAATACTGAGTATAGGTTAGTTCTTTATGTGACATTGTCCATGTTGGACCTGAGAAAGATCCTCCCTGCCTAAAAGAATGTGTTTTTTTCCCAGCTGTTAGCAGGTCTTGCAGAATGACTCTATTTCTCCACACATTTTGCCTTATACCCTCAGGGCATCATGAAAAAAGGTGCTATATATAAAATAAAAGACCTGTAGTCAAGTAAACAATTCAGGCTGCACGTTCAAAACCTGTTTTTCAGTGTGTAGATGTATCTTCCATATTCTGCATGATGATTACATTGAATTACATGAGCTGAAGGAAAACTGCTCTTCTAGCTAGCCAAGTGCCATAAAAATACATGTGGAACCTATATGGGCCTCCCAATGGATGTTGAAAGCACTCACCAACTGTGCATGGAATGATTAACAATGCTCAAGTAAAACAAGAGAAAAGGAAGGGGAAAAAAAACAGATTGGAAAACCTTCCTTAGCTG